AAAGTAGACTGCCTCGCGTACGCGTTGGATAGTTTTTCGAATACCAGCATGAGAAGCTAAAGGGCTGTCATGGAGCTCCTGCAGGATATTTAATCTAAGACTAGCTGGGATAACAGGTCGAAATTCGTTGTTGGAATTCGTAGTTTTCGTATAAAATAATAGACCATCTATTAGTTCGTAATGGGCAGCCCTATTTCTTATCGCCACAATATCTTGGTGGCTAAAATTTTCAGGATCCTTCAAATACTCATAAATGTTTCCAAACTCAGGATCCTTACCCAGTTCGGTTATTACAGTTTCTCGGGAATTTATTGTACATTGCCATCTTTACGGTATTGCCTTGTTCGTCTATTTTAATCCTTGATAGGGCATCTGCTACGATATTTTCCTTTCCAGGGGTATGCTTGATTACCAGATTATATTCTTGCAGCTTGAGTGCCCATCTTATTAACCTTGGGGATAAATTTTTCCCTGAGTACAATCTACGAGGGCCATCCAGGAAGTAGATTACGTTTCCGTCTGTGTCCGCTAGGGGCGGGGCTAGCGCGGCCATCTTGGGGTCAGAGCAGCTCAGTCTGCATCTAGCCGTGCTAGTGAGAGGTTCGTGCTGTGCTCCGTTCAGATACTGTGACGGTTTGAAATGTCTGCGTTAATTGAAAATCCCGCGAGCTGCGAGGTGCGCTCAGTAATAAGGTTTCTGACTGCAAAAAACTGTAAACCGATAGAAATCTATCGGCAGCTTCGTGAAGTGTATGGGGACAACATTATCACTGAAGGTGGAGTGCGTCAGTGGGTCATAAGATTTCAAAATGGCCGAACCAATGTTCACGACGAAGATCGAAGTGGGAGACCCAGCATAGTGACCCGCCGAACTTCTCGAAAAAGTCGATGCTAAAGTCCGTGAAAATCGAAATTTCACAATAACGGAACTTTCTTTGAGTTTTCCACAAATTTCGCGAAGTTTGTGTTGCACGAAATCATCAGCGAAAAGCTTGGTTACCACAAGTTTTGTGCAAGATGGATTCCAAAAATCTTGACAGAGGACCACAAAAATCAGCGAATGGCTGCAGCGTTGAACTTTTTTGGACGCTTACCATAAGGATGGTGACTCTTTACTCGATCGCATCGTTACTGGTGACGAAACATGGGTGAAACATGTGAACTGTGAAACGAAATTGCAATCAATGCAGTGGGGGGGCACACAAGTTCTCTCCCCAAAAACCCAAGAAATGCATGCAAACAATGTCGGCAAGGAAGATGATTGGCGACTGTTTTTTGGGACAGAAAAGGTGTAATTTTGGTGGACTTCCTGGAAAGAGGCACTACAATAAACTCTCAAAGGTATTGCCAAACTCTCCAAAAACTCAGAAGAGCAATTCAAAACAAGCGCAGAGGAATGTTGAGCTCTAAGATCTTGTTGATTCACGACAACGCCCGGCCCCACACGGCAAATGTCACTCGTAAAGTTCTTGAATCTTAAGTGGGAGTTGTTTCCTCCTCATCCGCCGTACAGTCCCGACCTGGCACCGAGCGACTTCCACCTATTCCCAGCAATGAAGAAGTGGCTGGCTATGCAGCGTTTTGATGACGACGCACAGTTGCAAGAAGAGGTAACGAAGTGGTTGAAGGCGCAGGCGGCCGAATTTTTCGACGAAGGAATTTCCAAGCTCGTACATCGCTAAGATAAATGCCTTAATTTGTATGGTGACTATGTAGAAAAGTAGTATTTGAGTGTGGCTTTCATCTGTATATAATAAAATTTGTTTCCTATACTTTGATCAGAGTACACTGTTATCGGCGCCTTTCCAAAATAGACTCGGAACTTTTGCACTGCTAACAGAACTGCAAGTGCCTCTCTCTCGGTCGCGGAATAGTTTCTTTGTGTTTGATTTAAAGTTCGGCTAAAAAATGCCACGGGCTGCTGATTTTGCGAAAGTACCGCTCCTACCGCATAATCCGAAGCATCCGCTGAAATTTCTAAATTCTCATCCTTTTCAGGAAATTCCAACACAGGGGCTTGCGTTAATGCTTGTTTTAATTTTTCGAAAGCACTATTGGCTTCGGCCGTCCACGAGAATCTTGCCTTTTTCCTTTTAATTTTAACAATGGTTCAGCAATAGCTGCAAAATTTTTTATAAAGGACCTATAATATGAACAAAGTCCTAGAAAAGAAGAGAGCTTCTTTGCCGTGTTTGGAGTCGGATACTTTTGTACAGCGATTATTTTTGATTCATCTGTCTCGATCCCTTTTTGAGATATTTTGTAACCTAAATATTTTAATTCAGGGGCTGCAAATTTGCACTTTTCGACATTAACTTTTAGACCGGCCTCATTTAATAAAGAAAACACCTGTCTTAATCCTGTACATGTTGGTCGAGATTATCACTAGTAATAATGATATCGTCTAAATAGATAAATGTGGACTTTCCAAGAACAGGTCTTAACACAATGTCCATGCATCGCTGAAATGTTGCCGGGGCCCATGAAAGGCCAAACGGCATACGCAAAAATGCATAAGTGCCAGACTTGGTTATAAAAGCAGTCTTAGGCACGTCCTCAGGCCTCACCCCTATTTGAAAATAACCAGTCGTTAAGTCTAAAGTCGTCATAAATTTGGTTGATTTTATGTTCCTTAGAATTTCTTCTATAATCGGTAACGGATATACCGGATATTTAGTTATGGAGTTTAATTTACGGTAATCAATAGCGAATCTCCATCTTTTTGGATGCGTCAAATGATAGTCATTATTTTTCTTACATAAAACCACCGGGCTAGCATAACTACTTGAGATGGGCGTTATGATCTTTTTACGTAGCATATCGGTAATATGCCATTCTATAATTTTTCCTTATTCTTATCATACCGGTATGGTTTTTGACGAACTGGCATTGCATCTCCGGTGTCAATACTATGGTTAGTAACCTGAGTAAATCCTGGAATATCACTAAATAACGAAGCAAATTCACTTACCACTTGTCGGATTCTTCCTTGCTCGTCATTAGGGAGGTGGGTCAAGTTTTTAATCGGCGGTTCAGCGTTTCTGTACGAACTGGTTTCATTGTCAGCTTAAGGGACGCTTCATTAAAATCCAGCGTAGCTTGTGCTTCTGAAAGAAAATCTATTCCTAAAATTAAATGTGCTTGCAGATTCTTTACTATAAAAACTATCACCTTTACTTGTTCGTCCTTGATACGGATATACAAAGGTACTTTACCTACGCACTTACATTTTTCTCCTTGCGCCGCTAACACTGTCGTATTATCCGCATTATATATGCGGTATTTGCGAAAATACTTCCTAAAAAACTCTTCTGCTACACAGGAACACTGCGCGCCGGTATCCAGGAGTGCGGTGGCTGGGATATTATTCACCAAGACTTCAATCTTCGGAAGAGTCAAATTTTTCACCATTACTGTATTTAACTTGTAGGAACAGGGGTTTTCGTGGCCTTCGGACTTCCGCACCCTCTCGTCAGCAGAAATCCGTTTTAGTTTAAATTATTTTTCCTTTCCGTGCTTTCCTTCTTTTTCCACTGGCCTTGAGACTTTTTTTCTGGGTTGCTATTGAACTGTCGACGTTCGCCGGCTGTTTTTGAATGCTCGGGTTTCCTTGCCCACTGATTCGCTCTTTCTCCGTAGCCGTGTGCTTGAGTTTGCTGTAGTCTTGGCGTACTAAATTGGTTTTGCTGTTGATATTGGCGTCTTCTTTCGACGTCCGCCGTTCTTCTACTTTCAAACTGGATTGCTAGCTCAAATAACCTTTCCAGTGTAGTCGGATTTCTCAATTCAATAAAGTCTTGCACTTGGGGTAGTAACCTCGGCAAAATCACTTGAATTATTTCAGGATCCGGACGGTTTTCCATACAAGAGCTTGAAAACGTGAATATTTCTTAAAATAAAGCTCGAGAGGTTTTCAATTCTTTGTTGATATATACTGAAAAGTTCCGTTTCTAATTTCGCACGATCCCTTACACGACAGGGAAGGCTTTTAGTAGGGCAGTCTTGAAATTTTTCGTAAGTATAGGTGGGACTTCCCTGCTTGACCCAAGAGACTTTCTTGCCTATACATTTGAACCAGTTAAGCGCTTGGCCCCTCAAAGCGCTGGTAGCTAAGGTAACTTTTTGAAACTCGTGCACGGGGTATAGCATGAAAGTGGTCATCCAATTTTTCCAAAAAAAACTGGTTACCGGTGAGTTTCCATTAAATGTCGATTACTGCTGGTTTCATCGAAGCGCGCATGGTCTGGACGATGTAACCAAATCCTTCCAGAGCGGCAGCTGGCATTTCTGGATTCTGAGCCGTTTCTGCAGGCAGCACAGGTTCTTCTTGAAACTCGGCCATGGTTATTATTCTTCGTTGGGCGCCACTATCAGGTTCAATGTTCCTTCTTACCTTCTTCGGGAACATACAAGGACCGACTCGGAACAGAGAGCTTACTAAAGCTATGTTCACTAATTGTGGTAAGTAGACAGGAATACACATGAAGGGTATACAAAACCCTTTATTTTTCTCTATATACAATAACTTCCGTACTTCGGAATACACTGACCCGCTACTCGGGGTCTAACGTAAAAGTATAAAAATAAAACTAAACTCTCATTTAACCTTAAACTAATAAACGTGGAAGATTGGCCTTATATTAACAGGAAGCGTATGTAGTACAGAGACTGTGAACACTACAATACGTTTTAAAATTTATCAAGAGGATTAAAACCTCTGGCCTGGAAGGCAAACAGCAACTGCGTAACTTCTAAGGTAAGCGGCCTGCTTTGACTCAACTGCTTCCTCTCTCTCGCTTGGCAAAAAGCCACAACTTAAATACTTGGCGTTCGCCAGACAACTTTGCATAAAAACCTTAACGCTTATAATTCTGGCCGGAAGTAGAAAATAAGAAGTGATAGTAAAGATTTAAAATAAAAAAATAAACGTTAGTAAAACTTAAGATCCTTACAGTATGTATGTGTGTGAAAATAAAAGATGAAATTAATTTTGTAAATCATAGTCTAAAAATATTTTTTATTATGCAATACAAATTGAGATTTAAGCAATAAATTTTTATTTCTATTGTTCATCTCTAAAGACAGAGTTTCTAAAACTTTCTTTAAAGTCAAAAGAAATTAGATCTTTCCAGAAAGCTGTTATAAGTGCACCAATTGCTAGTAAAGCAGGAAGTTTAGTTGAACTAGGTTCCACTTTTCTCACTAATATTGTAGAATTAGTATTAGTATTTCTAATTGCAGAAATTACACTTGGACCTTGTGCAACTCTGAAAGTAAATGAGAAAAAGCAATTTTTAACAATTGATTAGTCAAACATATATTCTTCATTTACGTGTTTCATGTAAAATTTATTATACTTTAAACATATTCTACAGTAGTGTGCAAAACCTGAGCGGCATTTCTGATTTTGGCCATAATTATCCAAAAATTTCATGCTACCAATGTCAACTTGGTAGCATAAAATTTATACTACGGAGGCAAAATGTAGTACTTAAGGATGGGGAAAGCATAGTAGCAGAAAAATGAATAGTACGCATACAGTATGGAAAGAAAATGCTTTATTGACAGAATGACATTGGCACAAAAAACTGTCTGGCCAAGAGGAAGAACAATAAACCAAAGAGCCTTAGTAATTTATTCGCCAAATGCCAGTTACATTGGTCATTAGGCGATTAAACTCCCTGCTTGCCAATAGCGCTCAAATCTACAAGAAAAATCTGTCAGTGCTTCGCACTCGTCCAAATGTTCTGTCCTCATTGGCCGTCCACTATTACATAAAACACACAACGGCGAATCAGCTAGTGCAATGCAAAATAAATGAATCTGTAGACAGCCATGTCCCGTCAATAGTATAAAAGATGCAACCGTAACAGTTTGCGTGTGGTCAAGAACAAAAGCTGGGTTTGATAAGAGAACACTCCAAGGCTTACCCGCTTGGCAAAATCTGTAAAAGTCTTGATATGTTAGCGATGTCAGAAGCTTAATAGAATGGAGGCTTGCACTCGTTTTTGACTTTTGGAGAACCGTAGCCCCCTTTTTCGCAAGCATATCAGCCATATCATTTCCATAAATACCGCAGTGTGAAGGTATCCATTGAAATGATATCTTGTGGGAAAGTTCTTTTATGACTTCCTGACACTGTTGAACGCGTATGTTCTTACACCTCTTGGTAAGAGGAGATTGCATGTATTGCTGAAGTCAAATCAGACAGTACAACAGCTCTCCTGAAAGAGCCTGAAAACATTGCTTAATTGTTTCCAAAGCTATAGTTCTTATTTGCTCTGGACTCATCTCCTTCTTATCAACTTTCATTTCTAGGTCCAACTGCACATCAAGGAAACTATAATCAAACAGATTTAGCAAAAACAGCAGTGTCGGTTTCAGTGTTCTTTTATGATTGTATTGTTCTAGGCGAGAGACACACTGCAGAAAGCCATTTTGTGTCTTTAGATTTCATTGTTTATTATAATCATAATTCCTCCAATGAGGGTTACCTGGAAGACGAATAAGTCTCTGGGAAAGGATGAAAGCATTTTTCTGAATCAGGTTTGTCATTGGTTGGTTTGCCGATACCAACTGCATTGCCAGAATGGGAGTCGTTTTAACAGCCCCGGTTATAATGCGCAGTGCCTGATTTTGGAAGACCTCCAGACGTGTATCACATCTCGCGTAGCCGAGATCAATATCTCACAGCAATAATGTAGTATTGGTCGAATATACATTTTATACGTTGAGTTGAGAGTCTTTTTACCACAACCTCATTTAACACCAGCTAAGCGTTTAAGGATAGGTAATCTCTGCTCCGCCTTAGCAACTACATGCTCTGCATGCTTTCTCCAGGTTAGGCGCTTGTCAAAAATACAGCCAAGATAGGTGGCACTATCCGTCTGCTGCAAAACCGACTTCTCATGCATTAGTCTAGAAGTAAAGTGTTGTCTGTTGAGAGAAAAACTGACAAGTAGTCTTCCCCTGATTAACTCTCATATTATTAGCAGAACATCACTCCTCAAGTCTCTGAGGTGCAGAGTTTAAGATTCGGTTTAAACCATCTTGATCTTTTTTGTTAGCTCTGGCCCATATGACAAGATCATTGGCAAAAAGGGCGATGTTCACGATTCCATCTGATTCTAAAATGTCTGGTAGGTCGTTAATAAAAATGTTGACGTAGGGCTAATAACTGTGTCCTGAGGCAAACCTGTTTGAACTTGTTTATATTTTGAAGTGCTGGTGCCATAACGAGTAGCACAAAAACGTTTGGTCAAGAAATGTTTTAACCAAAGGAACATTTTTCTGCTAACACCAAATGTTCTTTTTAAGAATTGGGATCAAGATGGCCTTTTTCCAGGCAGCAGGAACTGTCGAGTTCCAGCTCTTATTATAGAGCTTCAGGAGGACATTCAGGGTGTTTTCGCCAAAATTCTTTAAAAATTCAATAGCGATATTGTCTGGGCCTGGACTTTTGTTACACTTCATTTCTCCAATAGCTCCCCGAAATTCAGAAATAGTAAAATCTCTCTTAAAAACCGAAGGTCCCCGAGAGCTAGAAGAAAATTTTTCTCTTCCTTTTTCACCATTCACAAAATTATAAACCTTTTTTCCGTTCTTTCTATAATCTATATTAGTAATGAAATCATTAAAGCATTTTTTTCTTTGCCACAATAATTTCTTTTCTAAGGATGGCTACACTTTCTCTATCTTTGGACGTCCTTAGGATTTTTGTTTGTTCAGCAACATTTCAGAATTCAATGGCTATAACCCTTTAATTCAGTCAATTTATCATTCCAGAAAGCCTTGAACCTTAGTTGTTTACCTCTTGGTATCCACTTCTCCGCGGTTGTCAAAATTAATTCAGAAAAATGAGAAAATGCCTTGTCGATACTCGTCTCAGGGTTGGCTGGGAAAAGATAGTCTCAAGCTCCCAGCAAAAGTTTTCCCACTTCGCCTTCTTAAAATTCCACCTGTTTTCTCACTTTATTTACTAAAGGGTAAAAGGTTTGTAATCCAAAACTGGTTGTGATTATACAATGTCCAGAACCAGGATCATAAATGACTTCCTTTCTTGCATCCCCAGCTAAATCAGCAGTAGCTAAAATCAGATCGTGATTTGTACCATTTCCATTTTAATGAATATAAGAAGGGATATCCGTATTCTGGTAGATTAGTTCCAGTCTGGTTGAGTTAATTAGGTCCTCCATTATCCTCCCGGAATGGTTAGAATCGTTATAATTCCAACGGGAGCTATGAGCATTAAAATCTCCACAAAGGATAGTTTTATTAACGAAGGAAAGACACTGGAAACTTAATTTATTATTGTTCGGTGGGCTATAACAAGCATAAATAGTGAAATGGGTTTTCTGTTTCCAAACGTCGATTTAGACCACCACAGCACCAATATGAGAGGATACGTCACTGATAATATTGAATTTGGACATCAAGTTCTTTTTAATACCAACCAAGATTCCACTAGCGATTCTTTTTGATTTAGACAAGAGCTGTAGATAGTATTTATCAAACGAATAGTATTTCATATCGACCCTAGACAAATTTGCCTCAAAAATAAGAAATACATCTATTTGTCAAAAATAAGAAATACATCTATATCATTTAAGTCAGTCATTCATAAGCTGTATTTTCTTTTCTTGGGAAAAACTACCCGCATTCCATTGGACAATCACTAAGCGATGTTTGCCCTGAAAAGGACAGTTTGGAGGATCTCTAGGAGCCATCAACAAGCGGTAAAGCTGTAGCAGATTTAGCGTAACCCAGGGTGCACTACGAGGAGGCCTGCCACACTATACCGCAGAGCCTTAGTAAAGATACAGCTCATTGTTGTGTCTTTGCTGATGCTGAGTATGGCAGACAATGCAATTGCTGCATTGCTTTGTCTGTCATACTTAGCATCAGATTGTTTAACAGTTCTTGGGGTAAGAGTTACAATTTTTCAAAGAACCTCTTGGAAAGAACATATGCTTCAGTTGCTGGTTTTCTCCAGAAGGTAAGATTGTTCCACCAGGTATCTCCCTAAAGTATCTCACACATGCTTAATGAGATTTAAATTAAGGGAACATGCTGGCTAATCTGTTCTGTGGATATCTTCAGTTTTCAAGATCTCCTCAATAGCATGAGTCCTCTATGGCAGTGCATTATCATCCATAAAAATAAAGATGAATGGCAATCTCGAAAAGACACAAATGGAGGAGGATAACTTCATCTGTGTAATGGTCTCTGGTAAATGAGCCTCTGTTGAAAATATGAGGCTCCATCCATCTGTTCATCATAATACCTTCCCATACAAGCACACTAGAATCACCTCAGTGGTCTTTCCTTGATGTTAGTGGGATGAAAACATATCCTTAGCTCTCATCCATTACCTCCATATCAGCTGGTACCAAGAATCGTTAGTCAGACTGAAACAACTTTCTTTGGTAAAGTGGACATTCATGAGGTGACCAGTCTTCCTGTTCTCAACACTACTGTAAACATTCCCAGCCATGGGCTGCTGTTAATGGTATTCAGCATTCGGGAAGGCGGGTGAAAAAGCCACCTTTATGAAGGCGTGTGATCACAGTAAACTGGGTCGCCTGTCATCTGGTTGCTGTGCACAACTGTTGAGTAATGTTGACCACTGTTTTGTTGTTTCTTTTCATGCGCAAGGCAATATATTGGTCATTAGTCACCATTGTTTTCTTTGGCTGATCACCGCCAACCTTTCTTACGGCTGTACCTGTCATTTAGAAGGATTTCCAAGCTCGTGAAACTTCTATATGTTCTAAACTCTTGGGGGACAGACAAGAATATCCACTCATACTATGCAGGAGTGCTTTTAGAAAACATACTTAAATATCTCCATTTATTGAGACAACTGTGAATTTTCTCATACCTACTCAAACTATGAACTACTTCATACTGTGCAGTACAGATACACCAGTACTACGCACTCAACATTATGTACCATGAAATGAATTCATAAACTGTGGCTGAACTATGAACTGTACTATGAATGAACTTATAAACTGCAAACCGTATAACAAAAAAACCAAACAGACAACGACCCACATACCATAATCACTCCCCAAAAAAGCTCCAAACCGAAACACTAAAGAAATATGTATGTACATCTGTAAATAACATAACTGTATTTATTTATTGTATTTATCCATGTAACTGCAAAGTACCCATGTAAAGTATATGTTATGTCAATATTGTCTGTAATGCAAATTATGCACCATAAGTAGGTAACTATTATGAATGCTGCAATGTATACAAATGCCTGAGCATAGCGTTAGCGTGCTCTGTGAGGGTGCACTTCCATAGATGGTTAGTGCAATGGGGGCAATACCAGTTTTGCCCATGGCGATGTTTTGGTGCCCCCTGTACTTCTTTCTGTCTGTCTGGACAACAGACAACACACTACACCTCTCCTGAAGCTTACCAATCGCTCTATTTATGTGTAAAGGTAGGACCTGATGCCTTCTTGTAGCTATACAGCATGTACAGTCTCACTTTCACTTAGTTAGAAATGGGCTTTCCTTTCTTCTTTAAGTTGCCTTGTGCCTGCTGTCTTCTCGCATTTTGTGTGCCTTGGCATACCTTCTGATGTTACTGTTCTGATATGCGTATGCACCACCTTATGCAGAGTTGGTTTTTCTTGTACCGATCCAAAAAACGTCCTTTTCAACAATTTCATGAAAGTATGTTGAAAAATGAATTTGCACACTAGTAGTTTTTTTTTGGGGGGGGCTGTGTTTTATTTATTTTTAAGTATAAAAACATACTGAAACATGTTTTTATAATGAAATATATGTTTATGTTTTCTTGTATGTATTCATGTTGATAAAGCTGTAAATATAAGAAATAAATTTTATGTTGTTCAGTATAAAAATTATTTGATTGTGGCTATGTATTATAGGAGATATTTAGGGTTGGATAAATTCTATGTTAAATGGCAATCGAAGAAATTAAAATCAGTTTTTTATCTGAATATTAATTCACAGATTACTTCATTAAATGATTATTGAAAAAAAAATCACTCATTAAAGATAATGCTTTCAAAAATATGCTGAAGTAGGAGAGAGCATTGCAAAAATAGACAAGGAGATTTTCTCATTAAAATAGTGTATGAAGGTTCTAAATTAAATTATCATGCATGCGTAAAATTGAAATTTTTATCTTGCATTTGTATATCTACACCTACTATTTGTATATCTACTAAGGCTATTTTACCAAAATGTAAAGAAAATATGAAGCAAAGCATCTTGGAAGTATTTATTTAGAAACATTTTTTAAATAATTTTTCTGATAAATTAAACATTTCGTATTTTAACTTTTTTGACAATAGTTATATGAAATTTTCTAGTTGTTCTTTTATTTGCATGGCTAATGTGTGCTACTGGCTAATAGTATTTTATTTTATCTGTAATTATTGTGTACTGTATTACTTGCATTACTAAAATGTACAAATATATATATATATATCTTTTTAGATCCAAACAGATGTAAGTTAGATAAAAAGTAATTTTTTTTTTAATAATGCAGACTTTGCTACTGTAATGTAGCATAAAGAATTAGGTTTTTATATATTGGCATTTTTGGTAGCAGTTAGCATATAGTGGCAGCTTTAAATTTTATATGACCCTTTTAATACAGTATGTTCAATTACAATAAGAATATGCAAATACATTTTGAAGTACATTGTGTTATGTGTGCTTTTATGAAAGAAACCATTTCTTATTTTATACTACTGTTTTCCATTTTTTACTTCAGAAATCTCAGTTGGATCATTTAAAAATTATGGCATTTCAAGCAGCTTCAATTTAGTGATTTTATTCATTGTAAGATTAAAGGCAGGAAAATTTTAAAAATTCTATTTAAATACGTAGTTTGGGGCAAAAGTCATGGCAACTATTTTTTTTCTTGAAGATACCAGTCCGAATGAAAAATGTGACGTATACAGATGAAAGGACAAGCTCTTAACTACATATGTGGACAAAGAATAGCACTGAAATATCGCAACATACGAATTTATTATGGTAGTATACACGGCAATATAGCCTTCACCGTGCAAAAGAATGATAACACCCCATGTAGACCCTCAATGTAGTCCCCTGCTACTGTCACCACACGCTGCTAACGATATGGGAGGCGCTGAATACCATCAGCCTCAGCATTTGCATCACCATGTGTGAATTGGGTCATCTGTTGCCGCACAGCATTAGCAATGTCCTCTCGTGTTGCAAACCCCCTATGTATTGATCCTTTAATCTTGCAAATGAGATCAAAGTAACAGGGCGAAAGGTCAGGAGAGTAAGGTGGGTGCTCCAAATCTTCCCATTCCCAACGTCGGAGTAGCTGCCGTACACACTCTGCTTTATGTGGTCTTGCCTTGTCGTGCAGAATTATTGCACTGTCCACAAGATCCGGACGTTTATTCCGAACGCCACGTCGCAGCAGGAAGTCCCTGTAGTACTGTGTGGTCACTGTTCTGTCATAAGGAACAAAGTGGCAAACAATGACACCCCTGACGTCATACGCGACAATCACCCATCAATTTGATTGAGGAAGGATTCTGACGCTAGCTCATTACGCAATATCCTGTGGACGGTGCGTTTCTCGATGCCACTTGCCATCTCTAACTCCATTAATGTCCATTGTCTGTCTTCATCCATGAGGTGCTCGATGACGGCACATGCCAAGTCGCTCCACACATTCACCGGTCGTCTCGAACGTTGCTCATCACTGGTTTACACAAGTCCTTGCTGAAACTTTCCTACCCACCGTGCTACTGTACCATATGGTAGGGCATTATTCCTAAGGGCTTCTACTAATTCACTGTGACATTCCATCGCATTTCTCCCTCAGAAACGGCTGTTTTGATGTAAGTGCGCTGCTCAACACGGGTTATTTCCATCTCGCACGGCACTTACCAACTGACTGATTTCAGAGCCCTCGCTACCACAGAGCCAGCTATCACAGAGCCATCTGTTGTTCTGCATGCACACTATGACTGCAGAACTTCCACACGACACATGTACATTTTGTGATCCGTTCACATATCTACAAGAAAAAAAATAGTTGCCATGACTTTTGCCCCAACCTTCCTATAATGAAAAGTGCTCTGGTTTAAATACGAAAAGTTTAGATGGTATTGAAATTTGTATTAAGAACTTTCTAGGAAACACAAAATATGCTCTTGCCATTGTAAATTTTTGAGATATCGCCAGTTTTTTAGGCTTGTATATTTCATGAATTTTGTAGCTAAAGTTTCAGTTCATTTTTATGCGACACAAGAATTTATGTAGGTGTTTCGGGTCATTGAATTTTTTGGCTGTAAAATTACGTAATTTTTTTGGGGGGATTTAAAATTTTATATTTACTTGGAGCATAAAATTTTTGTCAGCTTTGAAAGTAATAAATAATATGTTTTCAATAATTTTATTTGCTTCCTTCAAATTTTTAAATTGAGAAATGAACCACTGAATACTGATGTTTATTCTTAAACATTTTAGCTCTTGACGCATTGTATAGAGGATGTTTACACATTTTAGAACGGTTTTCATAAAGAATTTCAAAAATGTTTTGTAATAAAAATTTCTGCCAACAGCTTATTATTAGAAATGTCATCTCTATTTTAAATTTATTCTTTCAACACCGTGATGAAATGCATGGTATTAAAATTTTTAGGTGCAAAATAAGCAGCATTATTGATCAGAAAAGGAAAAACCACCAGTCATTACATCTACATGGAAAGAAGACTCCAAATGAGTATTCGAAAAGGTACTGTTTCTGAAAGTTAAATCGTTGGTAACAAGAGAAAATCCATGATGCAGAGATCAATTGTAGAGTTTTTAAACACGTCTGTAGCAACAATAAATAAAATAATAAACCAAAATGCCGCCCAACCGATATAGTGGTTAGCGTCGCTGACTACTGTGTCGAAGGGCCGGGCTTGAATGACGGAAAAGGTAAAGATGTTTGTAAATGTATAGTGTCCGTGCGGCGTGGGGGCACTCTGAATATCCGGCGAGCAGAAAGTCCTCTCGAAAATGTGATGGTAGGGGAAAAGCAGTGAGAAACCCGCGGACCCGTCGCCCCCATTGGGGTGCTCTCCATCAAAACTGGGGATGAAACTGAGCTAAATAGCACCTTGTCACCTGTAAGGTGCTCAAGGCTGTTGCAACGGCAGGCATAAACTTATACTCCTTGCCACCAGAAATTTCGTGGGCTTGGGCTGACTCTAGGTCAGACAATTGAGTATTAGCAGAAACAACTACATAAACCAAGATTCAATGGAAAAAAGCTAAAAAACAAATTTCACCAGTTTTCGCCAAGGCATGTGACTCAACGCTAAACATTTTGTATGTATAAAAACTGTTTAGCGGGAGATAAATGGAAATACATCGTGACTCTTAATGAAACATGGGTTATCAGAATGATTGCCACAAAAGAAAAAAAAATCTATTTATTATTTTCGCAGTATTCCCTTACAGTGGGAAAGGAAAAATAAAAAGACTGAAAATAAAATGTTAAAAACAACTGAATATGCTATTAAGGCAAAGTTTTGTGTCCGATATTTACAGGAGAATTTCCATTTCTTAATCCTAAGGATTTTCTAAGAGTGAAACTTCATCAAGACAAAGAACAATTCATACTTCGAAAAGTACCACTGCATTCCTTGAGAAAATGAGGACTGATATGGGTATTACATATCAACGCATTCTGCGAAAGTTCGGGCCATTTTATGTGACTATTGTGCCTTTGGTTTCTTGAAAAGAGCTCTTTCTAAGTGGAAATCCACTACGATTAATAGACTCTGGAAAGTGGAAGAGGAATAGAAATTAATAACACTGGAAATTTTATTTAAAAAAAAAACTGCTGTTATAGAAATTAGATGCAGACTTATAATCCAGAAAAAGTGCATCGGGTCATTTAAAAAAATTACTCTTTGCATTTGAAACATTAATTATACGGCTCCTAAATCGTTCCAAAAGTGTGTAAACTTCCTCTTTATTTGCAAAAATCATTAATAATTTTGTCCTTATTTGTTAATAATTTAACAAAATTCCGTTTTGATTTTATTTGTAATATAAATGATTAAGTCCTTTTCTCCTTACTTGTAATTCTGTAATGGATGGGAATTCCAAAAGTAGCAGTATCCAATATTCATCAATACACATCCTACAGCCAGAGGTTTGCCAAATCTTGAAATGCTCTCATGTAGTGCAGATGAACAAATTACGGATCCTATGGCAGTGAAAACGCACATGTCCTGAAGTCGTCTTCCAAACTGGAGCCAAGACACAGTCTTATTGCCTAGTTTAGGATCCTTTATGACTATGACAGTTTTTGCATCTACAAGTGCTTTTTTTAGCTGGCTGTGGGAGCTGTAATGGGGAGTAGTTGGATGTATCACACTTATATCGAACTTTCCGGAAGTTCTCCTATGAAGAAGAACTCTTAATTTGATCCTGTATTTTAATATTTTAAATTTAAGTATTGGTATGATATGAATATTTTAACTGCGTTTAAGGAAATTCTATATTTCTCGATTTAATCCTCTGCATTTGAGAGGAGATTCTCAGTCACCATTCATTGTATATGACAACTAGAGTGAATGACAGCGTTAGGAATTATTTCAATTTTTAAACTGGTCTTTAAATTCCCGACATCTGGTAATTAAATTCAAAGAAGAACATGGCAAATCTAAGTGAAGCCCCAAAGACAGAGTGGGAGAAAACTGCTTCCTAGTTTTTTACTGTATGAAGCTGGTTTTTATAAAATGATTTATCAGTAATGAATTGATTCTTAACTGACTATCAATTGTCACTTGAATTTTGGGAATACACTGAGTGGTGGTGGAAATTCTCCTCTTGAATGTTAAGCATATGTAAATTAGAATAGTTTTTACAAATAATATATAACATTTTGATTAATTAATAATATTGGTATGAATTATTTATGTATATAATGATAAACCAGAATAAAAGATCTAATAAATAAATTCGATTTCAGATATGGCTCATAATTAATGCTGCCTTCCTGCAAAAGTCTGATTCACATAAGCATTAAAAATTAGCCTTGTTTCAAAGCCAGTTTTAAAGTATCAAAAAATGAATATAGAGTATATATAAGCCCATGAAACCTTTTAATGATTCATAAAAAATAAACTGCGCAACCATTATCATATTTTAATAATAAAATGACTTAATACTGAATAAAATACTGAAATAGCGGTAAACGTATTTATACATTTCACGAACATTCAGTTGCCCAGCTTTACTAGTATAGCAAACATCTGTACATGAATGCGAGAATTAATTGGATATATTGAGAAAATAATTCTTGTCATAGTTGACTGTAAACAATAATGATTACCTCTTTACGCAAGGCAGTTGATCAGCAACTGCCGAAGAGATCATTTGTGAGAACACCTCAGTCAAAATTTACTTCTGAGGCAGGAGAAGGGAGTAATACGTTAATATGATGGCTATACCATCCGTCAGATTTATTTCCATGCGATATTTTCTTTTGGACTTTATTAAGGATACCTCCTTTGTTCATTCATTTCTCATTAATTTCCTGGCAGATAGGCCTCCAGTACTTTGCCGTAATCAAGTAAACCCATTAATCTCCAGGGTAATTACTACCATATCACTGATGCTGTGGCGTTGGGCAGTTGTGATATACTGGAGAAGTGGGAATCCAGGAACGAAATGAATAGTAGAATAAGTCTCTGCCGTATAAAGAAAGGTGGACGGATTGTGTATTCGGAAATATGGAGGAGGAAATTCTTGAAGAATTTGTCTCTATATCAATATGCCTATGAAATTACATGTCTCTATATCAAAGATACTTACGTACCATCTTGGTAGAAAAAGGTAAAGGTACATACCACCTTGGTAGAAATCGCCAAATTTTCAAAAGTCGCCACACTGAAAATCATGTGCATAACAGTGCTTGAGGTAACCATATCCTATATAAGTTGCAGTCGGAAAATTCACCGAGTTATCTTATTCTTGTACAAAATACCGACAAACTGCACCAATACTAAAATTTGATCTGTGATGCTTATTTGTTGTGAATTTTTGAAATGTTTTATGGAATTATGAATAATTCTTATGCTTTAAGATGTATTCGTTTTGGGAACTATTGTAATATGCATTATGCCGTATTATAGAAATTATATTCTTTACAATTTCTGTTACACAGGTACACTTATATCAGGAAGAAAATTCTATATGATTAGCATACTTTAATAGAAAATTTTGGTACATTTCCGTTTCACCTGCGCAAATCTCGCCAAGCAGACTTTATTGCCGACAAAATACAGTATCAGTATACACATAAAAAATGTTAACAAATGTTAGTTCTTGAGAATTTTTATTTTGAAGGCATAAATATTTTAATATCGCTTAAAATTTTGTATAAAGCCGATAAATTTGGAAAAAGACACTAATTTGAGAATTTACTACGCTTTTATGGTTCAACATCCTGATTCGCCGGTTCATATCACGTGACCCCAAGTCTCATATTATCTGACGTAATCTTCGCTAGTGCATTCTCATTAGAAATTGATGACTTTAAACCTTGACCTTGACTTTGCCTTTTCTATATTTTCGCCTTCGGGTGAGCAGTGTGATTGCATCCTAATTTTGTATAAAGCCAATAAATGCTTGTAGTACCTTAAGGTAAGTAATTACCGCGAATGGCCTTAAGGTATAAAATTGAATTATCTGATAAAAATTCTATGTAATTATATGTCAGTATTGAAAGAAACAATCAATCTGATAAGAAATAGCTGTGACTTGTTTTGAAAATGATGCGTAAAATATTACCAGTGAGGATATTCCGTTTGGCATCATTTGAACCATTATTATGTATGCCAAAATAAATGACTTTTTATAACACCCAAACTTCTTGGGAAAGAAATGGGGGAGAAGAAACTTCGCGCAGTTCGTAGATTAGAAAATAGGGGGACGAGGATCTTCGATCAAATTTGGCGCAGTTCGTACCCTACCTTTCTGAGTAAGCTATTCGTACGAATTGAAATATTTCTTGCATTTGAACTTGTGTTCCAAATTAAGATTTAACTTGAAATTAATGTAGATAATTACTGAGAGCATTAGATTTTTGTAGAGTAGTTAGTTTACGAGATGAGATCGCTTGGAACGTGATATGAACCGGCGAATCAGGATGCTGAACCATGAACATAGTAAATTCTTAAATTAATTTTTTTACAAATTTATTGTCTTTATTTATTGGCTTTTATAAAATTATATAGCGATATTAAAATGTTGTCATGCTTCAAAAAATTTCTTAGAACTAACATATTTTAAATATTTTTTATGTGTACACTGTATGTTGTCGCCAATAAAGTCTGCTTGGCGAGATTTGCGCCGGCGAAACGGAAAAGTACCGAAATATTTTATTTAACACGGCGGCCTTGTTGGCAAGACTGCAAAAAACAAGGCCAAACCGTATTCGCGATACAAATATTAAATGCAGGATACTTGTCTAGGCAAAGATACATGGCATGTATTTGGGGTTAGGAACTGAAGCAGATTTAGAAATAAGATTGTGACAGTTATGCTAATTTCCTATCACTTACGTTCTAAGTTTTTGGCTTAGATCACAAGAGCTATGTGAAAGAAATGTATGAAATCGTAAAAGAGGAAGTATGGAATATTTCAGGGTTGTTTCAGCATTGTGTTGAAAGTATTGAGGGTTAAATCTTTCAAGAAAAAAATAATAGCATGTTTCCCTGAACCTGCCATGTATTTCTGGAATTAAATTAAGAAAGTTCCGTGAAAACGGAGCCTAGATGTACTTCAGAATTTGTTTTAGACTTTAAAAAGAAATTACTGTCTGCTTAATTTCCTGACACAATAAACATGCATCTCAAGAACATGAATATTTTTATTTCCTTCTCTGCTAGTAATATTAAAGAATGTTTGTTGCTATTAATAAAGCTTATTACTAAAAAGCATTAAACAACTGAAACGATTGTTTAGCATAAACGGAATTAAATGGTGATCAGATAACCCAGAAGTACTGAATTTAAGTCATTAAAATAGAGCTGGAAAATAAAAGCAACACTAGGTTAATCTTCAGTATGCAAAGGTTTAGTATTTCGGGGCTATGTATGTAATTAGTAATAGTGTATAATCTGGGCATTGAATCTGCAATTTTGCACTTATAGCTCGCCATTAATGTTTGCATATCGGGTACTCTTTTGTTATTGAATCCGTCCCATATAACAGAAGAGTGCCGTATATTGTAACTACAATATATTCTTGTATAGCTTAGTTAAATAAATAATTCTTACTTCATGAATTGTAATGCATAAATATTTGTACTGATTACACCTTTACAACTCTATCTGTATGTATTTCCTGTTCTTGTTGTATATGTATGCCCAAGATATATTGTAATAGTGTAAAGTACTTAAACTAAGTATTGCATTAGAGAACTATGTAATGCTTTGCAAATTTGAAAAGCTTTTGGTAATTTAGCAACTAAACATCTTTTTTTCATTTAAATGTACAACTGTTGATACGCATTGTAACTATGTGCATATTGTACAAGACAATGCCCTCTTGCAGATAACAGCAACTTTCCATCTTTCCATTGCTCACGATAAGCCGACATCAGCATTTTTCACTTAATCTGGACAGCAATGTCCCTACTATGTACTTTCTATCCTTGTTCTGGTTCTTCTTTGAATGTTCCTTACTTTACATTACCAATTACCAAGTCCCAGAGGATATAAGCTCTTTTTTTTTTTTTTTTTTTTTTAAATTTTTTTTTTTACTCCATTGACGGGGCACATAAGGCTGATGAGCATCTTACTCAGTGAAACAGCTGTTCTGTTATTGGCGAATATAAAGGAAAGAAAAGTACTTCATGGGATGCGGTCATTACAAGGAAGAACATTGATTTGTGAGGAATATAAATGCCTATTTTTCATACGGAAACACTATTTAGTTGGTGTTTTTTAGTAGTCATGTTATGCCTCGTAAAAGAAAATTGAACTTGTATCAACAACTCTCAGAAATCACTTTTATGAGAATTTACTGTTGATAAGACTAGAAGGACCCCCCACTAAAAAAAAAAAAAAAAAAAACGACGTGCGACATCTGTCGTTGGCTCCCATTTATCAATCCGTTCTCAACCGGTGGTACGCAAGAAAAAAATAGGTGGTATCAAAGAAGCAAATTATTTTTAACTATTAAATTCAAATATTGAAACCCCAACATCCTGATTGAGTTATTTTTCTAACAATCGTAAGTTTATGGTAGCTTTGTTCAAGAGTGATGGTGGTAGTAGTACTTTGTAGAGGTGGTACTACATGTTTTCAATTTTTGTTTAGATGGTACGCGTTAGTCAAAAGGTTGAGAACCGCTGCACTGGACGACAGACATCTTGTCTGCATCTGTGCTTCCGTAAATCATACACTGGTTTAGAAACCTGGGTGTGTTGCATAACACCAAGTATCCACACCTGCGGTGCAACGATGTATGCAACCCCGCATATTTTCAACAGTACAATCTCCCTTGAGGCTACAGCACATGAATCAGTATCTACTGCATATTGCCCATGCTGTTCTACCTTTTCTCAACGCACAACGTTTTTCTCCTCGATTACCAATATAGTCGCCCAGCACCTGGATTAATAGTTTGGTGCGCTAATAGGTACACATCTCGTCCATTTCTAGTTCGCATACTCAATATGTTGACCAGCTACCTCTATATTATTGAGGTTTTTAATACCACTATATATGCTATCCACGTCTGCCTCTATTTCCTTCAGCACGCAAAGTGTTTTTCTCTGCCTTGGCTTGTACGCTATTCAAATCTTTTACGAATAGAAATAGTCTGGTCAATGGATGTAGATAGCCTGAGATGACAACACTCACCAGCTAATACTACTAATGAACTCTACATAGAATTAAAATCCCATGAATTGAAATATCCCAAAATGCTATCCGAGGTCTGTTCGACTCCATATCGAATCACTAATATAATTTTTAATTGTACAAAATACGTGAGATTCTACTAGAAATCGTATATTAGTATAGAGTCAAATTTGTGTTGAATGAGTTATTTCCATCCTTAAAAATATTAAAACTGTTATAGAAATATTTTGAAGTAATTTTAATTGTTATTAATATGTAACATTAAGAGTACAATGAAATTTGCAAAATTTTTCATTCTTTTCATATTAAAAATGTGTTTTAAAATAAAAATTTCATCAGGCAAATATTACGAAATTATAAATACAAAATTTTAACTTGTACTTACAAAACTTCACCACTTCCTGCCATATAAGTCATGCTAATTAATCAATTTTGAATAAATTAAAATTAACGGTGCTACTGCTGTAAAACTGATTATAATTTAAATTATTTAATTTTGAAACCTTTTTACAAAACACCATTCTTTATCTTAGCACGCGAATGCTACCTCTGCTCGTATCACTGTGCAAACGCTCGTAACACCGTTCCTGAAAGTCAGCTCACCAACATGATTTTTTTGTTGAATGGTTATTTGTAGTAATAAGATATACATTCTGATAACCTCAGAGATCACGTGACTTATGTATAGCTTATGTGAACAAAGTAGTAGCCCTCAGAAAGTAGATGCCCTCAGAAATCACGTTACATATATGTAGTTAATGTAAACAAACAAGTTCATTATTCCTCTTCTTCTCTTGAGGAATGTATGTCATTACAGATATTGTTATAAACCAGTTTAATTAGGAAAACTTGATAATGATGAGCTTAAGACGGGGTGAGCTTAAGGAATGGCGTTTTAAGGGACAAGATTTTTATAAATTTCAGACTGCAATCTGATAAAATGAGAAATATTTGTTGATATTGCTAAAAGAGAGCGCTACATGTCCGTGTATTTGATTTACTTAGCTCTTCCCTTTCTTAACACGAGATTATTTTGAAAAAAAAAAAAAAAAAAAAAATGACTGACTTTTATGCAAAATTGAAGATTCAGTCTCCTTCGTTTTAGAATTCGAACTTAGTAGCTAGTATAATTGAATGTTAGAAATATTCGATGAATCTATTAATTTCCCACCTTGTAAGCTTGGTTAGATTTAGGCATTATAGCCTACTTTATTTATATATGTATATATAATTATTTAAGTTTTAATTAAAAGAAGATGAAAATTTCGATTTTGGTCGATTTCGCAACAACTCAGACATATTGTTACAGTTTTTGTATTTAATTTGCTATTTTTAGTAGAATTATAATTAAAATTGTTTTATTTCCTCATGCACGCGACGAGTTTTAATAGAAAGCTACGCGAAAATATTAAAAATACTAGAGCACGCACATTTAATAAATAGATATCCCGTAATTGTACGCTTTTGCTTTCCGGAAAAATCCAGAAAATGCAAGAATATTCTAGTGCATTTAAAAAACGTATAAAAGCTGGAGGAAAACATCTTAATTCGGTTTTTTCGAAAACTGTTGTTAATTGTAGCGAATTCGCGGTGAAATCGGATTAGCTTTCTCTGTTTTGAATTAAGTTCTGTTGAACGTTTTAGTAGTTTAAAAGATAACTACTGTCAGATATTGGGATATTGTACGAATATCTCTAAGGCAATTTAAGTATTTTGTTTTTATTTGTTGTGATAAGAATAAAATTTACTCACTTTTCATCGGACTTGTGCATTCAATTTATTACGAACCCGTGCGCATGCAACACGTTTTGGTGTCAGAAGTGGAATTTGAATGCCAATCACAAGAGCAATGGAAGAACAGTGTAGACAGCTTGTCACTGCTTTTGCTGCATTCCAAGAAAAGATGGAAGCTAGACAAGCATCATTTAAAGAATTGTCTGTAATACGCTGGGAATTTCCCGTGGTTGGTACAGGTCTGGAGAAAGAGTCGGTTGCATTTGAGCCTCTTGAGAGAAGGTATTGGGAAGATGTTGTAAGTAAATCTTCTTGTCTCTTCTTCTTGCCATCGTGATGACCATGTCTCTTGGAATGTTGTCTTGAGGAGCCTTTTTGCATCTTCTGCGGAAAGAGGAACTTCCTTGTCAATTTGTGGTTTGAGAGCTGCAGTCTTAGCTAGTTCATCCGTTCGTTCGTTGCCTTTCTGCCAAGTATGTCCTTTTATCCAGTTGATTTTTAAAGGGATGGAAGAGCCTAACGTCAAGAGAATCTCTCTAAGTGCTGCTGTGTGCGGGTGTTTTGGAGGAAAGAAATTCAGCGCATTCAGAATGCTCATGCTATCTGTGAAACGGGACGTCATCTGTTCTTGCGGTTTTCGCGGGGAAGACGCGGACGCACTTCATTATCTGCTTTCCTGCCCTCTGACAGAGCACCTTCGACAGCAGTTCTTTCCTACCGCTACATCACATATCCTGTGAATAGACTGTTCACGGACTATTACTGCAACAAGGGCATTTTAGAGATAATGAAGCAAGTGAATGAAAATAATTATATCCAAGAAACTGAAGATTAATGTAAAATGTAGAAAGGCGGGCTAACCGTCAGATTGCTAGCAATGACTAGGGTGACTTCTTAACCCTGTAGTGCCATTAACTTAGTTTGGCGGAAAACGTTAAGTAAAGTGACCATATCATTTAAAGAAGACATGAAAGATTCTGTTAAAAAAGAGATGAAATCCATTTAAGACGAGATGAAATCCGTTAAAGGCGAGATGAAAGCAGGTCAAAAATCAGTTAAAGCAGAAATAAATATGGGCCAAGAGGAAACGAAAAGAGAAATCACCTGCATGATAAAAAACAAATTTGAAGCTACTGAAGGCAGAATTGACGCGGTTGAAAATAAAGTTGGACACATTGAAGAAAGTTTCTTTAGTCAAGGAAGAAATCGAAGGAAGAGTTTGATCCGTTCAACAGCAAATTGAACAACAAACTGGTGACAGAGTTTCTTCGATCGCCAAGGAAGTTGATGCCTTAAAGAAATTCGTAGCGACGACAGGGAGCAATTCGGATGGTTTTAAATTTTTACCGATGTCTTCTCGTCCATCTCTCAAGCTAACCACATATGATGGGAAGACCTCCTGGCAAGTATATAAGACACAATTTTCTATATTGTGGATGCGAATGGATGGGATTCTCAAACTAAGGCGTCATCTCGCCGCTTCTTTGAGACCAGACGCAGGGGATATTTTTCAGACTCTTTCCGAAAACGAAAGCTCTGTCCGGCGCATTGGAGCTGCTCTTCGGCGAGAAATGTTCGAAAGATTACAGCAGGGGATTCAATTGAAATCCCGTCAATAGAAGTTCACTGAAACACTCCAGGAGCTCGCCACGGATGTTGAAAGGCTGTCCCATCTCGCCTGTTCGGAGTGCTCGACAGAAACAAGGGAAATCTTGTCCCTGCAAAACTTTATCGATGGCATCCGGTATCGTGAATTACAGAAAGCTGTACGAATGGCGATTAAAAGTTTGAAAAGCGCTCTACTGTACGCCATGAAATTCGAGTCAGCCCAGCAAGCAACTCGTATAGACCGCCACCCAATCAGAGCTGCTCTATTTCAAAAAGCTAGAGGATCAAATGTATGCTCGTTTAGAAGATTTAACCCGACAACTCAATACCTTGAGACGGAATATGAGTAACAAGAAATCGACCCTAAAGTGCTGGAACTGCGGTGCTGAAGGGCACATACGAAGAAACTGTAGAACCCCCTAGGGTTCGGATGTTAAGACCACTCTTAGCAAGAAGGAGGGAAACTAATTAATGGCCATCTCCGCGAGACGGAGGTTGTCAGATAATGAAAAGTCCCAGTTTAAAGCGCTTCAGATTTCTGCAGTGAGTGGCGGCAGTAAAGGACTTTTCATCTTAAGACCTCTGCCACGAACTGCTGATGGCAAAAAATATATCCTCGTTGTCATTGATTACTTCACCAAGTGGTCTGAAGCATATCCTATTCTGATCAAGAGGCTGTCACAGTAGCAGAGGTAATGATACAGCACTGGATTTCCAGGTTCGGATGCGCTTCAGTTACATTCCGATCAGGGAAGGAATTTTACCTCGGCTATAATCAAAGAACTTTGCAAGCTACTCGGCATTGACAAAACCCAAACGACACCTTGTACATCCTCAATCAGTTGGACTGCATGGATACAGAAAGGTTTAATCAAACCATCCTTAATAACCTCTCGTTAGTGGTTTCCAGAAACCAACAGGATTGGAGACGAGAAATTACCACTGTTTTTACTGGCTTACCGCAGTGTTGTCCACGAGACTACCGGCTATTCCCCATCACAGATGCTCTTCGGTCGTGACCTTCGTCTGCCACGAGAGCGAGTCAACTTGGTGACGGAGAAGATGAAGACCCGATACGACACAAGAGCTACGAACATCAATTCCACGAAGGAGACAAGGTGTGGTTGTGGAATCCAACTCAACGGAAAGGACTTTGTCCGAAACTACAGTCACCTTGAGATGGTCTGTGCACAGTCCTGAACAGGCTGAACGATATCCTCGTTCGGATCCATTAAGTCATCGAACTCTAAACCTAAAGTCGTTCATTGCGACAGGTTAGCTCATTACTATTTCAATAGTAGTGCATATAATTGTAAATATCATAAGACCATGGTGCTTTTTATTTCTAAATTTGTAAAATTTTAGCACTCATTTGATTTGTATTTAGTATTTGATTTGTTACTTATTGCAATTATTGTTTATGATGTTTGTAACGTAATGTTTATTAATGCATTGATTCCTTAATTGTAAATTTGGCTTCCTGTCCAGATATTATACTGCCCGAGACATGCAGTCCTTGGGAAGGGAGCAGTGTTACAGTTTTTGTATTTAATTTGCTATTTTTAGTAGAATTACAATTAAGTTTGTTTTATTTCCCCGTGCTATGCTGTGCACGGCGAATTTTAAGAGAAAGCTATCCCGGAAAATTAAAAATACTGGAGAACCCGCACTTAATAAATAGGTATCTCGTAATTGTACGCTTTTGCTTTCCGGAAAAATCGAGAAAATACGAGAATATTCTCGTGCATTTAAAAGGCTTATAAATGCTAAAGGAAAAAATCTCAACTCAGTTGTCTTAGAAAACTGTTGTTTTTTACTGTAGCGAATTCACGGTGAAATCGGGTTAGCTTTCTCTATTTTGAATTAAGTTCTGTTGAACGTTTTAGTAGTATAAAAGATAAGTACTGTGAGATATTGGGATATTGTACGAATATCTCTTAGGAAATTTAAGCATTTTGCTTTATTTGTTGTGATAAGAATAAATTTTATTCATTTTTCATCGGTTTGGTTTGGTTTATTAGATTACGGCAAAGCACTCGAGGGCTATCTGCCTTAAGGGAGGGATGTCTTCATGGAGGACATTTTAAGGGAAACTGGCTCGTATACACGTTACACATGGGAAAATCCACGAAAACACCCATGCAGCCAGCCCGTTCGCGGGATT